AGCAGGGTTAAGGGTGGAGGCTGACAGCTCAAGACACCTCGCCCCCCCCCCCCCCAGGTAATAACCTTGTGACCCCTGAGGGGTCCCAACCCCCAATTTGAGAACTCTGGTATATAAAATTCCAGACACCAGACCAATGTAGTTTTAAATCCACAAACTCAACAACTCTGTGATATACTGCACACATCTTCAGGTGTATAGGGTAGACTTTTTTTGGTCTGTATTTGAGCCAAACATGGTGCCCACATTAGCCCAGAAGAAGTCAGGAAAAATAACCCTCCTACCACACAGCTAGATAAAATAACTCATCTGTGTACTCTGCTTCAATTCAACCAACCCTAATCTCTGACTCTGTCACAAGCCACAGGGAAATGGAGCACATATGGGTGGGAGGTATGCGGGAGGGTGTGGACTCTGATTCTGTCATTACTACCAGAGATAAGGAAATGGAACAAAAGGAAGGACATTCAAAAGCAAATACTGTAATGGGGCACCCTTAGCAGTCCTGTCTGGACACAATAATGGGCACTGAGATGAGCAGGGTGGGGAGTTTATGCTCCTCTCCTGGAAAATCTAAGGGAGGAAGCCAAATCTCATTATACCACCCCTTACGCCCCATACATTCCCAACCAGTGCTCCCCCGAGCCAGGTATCCCCTGCCAGTGGCCCACCCAGAGCTAAGTTGCCCCCCATACCCATCCAAACCAGGGTCCCCTCAATGCTCCCAGAACCAAGTACCCCCTTGCTCCCCAGCCAGTTACCCCCCACCGAAATAAATGCCTCCTGTACTTACCCAAGTCAGTGCCCCCTCAACCCACCCCAGAGCCAGGTACCCCCCCAGCCTGTGACCCCATGTTCCCCAGAACTGAGTGTCCCCAAGCCAATGCTCCCATGCTCCCCAGCCAATACCCCCCCCCCAGAACTACATGCCTCCTGTACTTACCCAAGTCAGTGTCCCCTCAACCCCCCCGAACCAGGTACTCCCTAGTCAGTGCCCCCAGCCACAGCCCTTCCAGAGCCTAGTACCCCCCCCACCCCCACCAGTGCTCCCTTAACCCCCAGAGCGGGGTACCCCCCACCCAGTGCCCCCCATGGTCCCCAGCCAATAGGCCCCCAGCGCCGAATGCCCCCCCACACCCACTCAAGCCAGTGCCCCCTTCGCCCCCCCCGCCCCCGGAACCAGCGCCCCCAGGCAGCGCCCCCCCGGAACCAGCCCCCCAGTCAATGCCCCCCCGGAACCAGCCCCCCAGTCAATGCCCCCCCGCTCCGACCTGCCGGGCCGCTCCGCGCTCCCTCGCCGGCCGAGGCGGGGCTGGGCGCGGCCGCTCCCGGCTCCCTCGCTCGCCAGCGGGGCGGCCGCCCAGGGCGCTGCGTGTCGGGCCGGACCGCACGGGAAGGGACCAGCCGCGCGCGCGGCTCCAGCGGGGCCCCCGGGAAACCGCAGCCGGCACCGGCGTTCCGGGCAACCCCCGGGCCGGCCGGGCTTGTTGTGGTAGGGTCGCCCGGTGGCGCCGGGCCGGTTGTCGTAGGGCTGCAGGGCGGCTGGGTCTCTTGTTTTTGTAGGGTCCCTGGCGGCCCCGGGTCAGTGCCCTGCGCTTGTTATTGTAGGGTCGCCCGTGGACCCCTGACGTGCCAAGTTGCTGGGGTAGCGTTGCCCGTGCGCCCCGCATTGGGTGTTGTGGGGTCGCTGCAAACCCAGGGCCAGGGGAGCCGGGCTTGCTGTAGGAGGATCACGGATGGGCCGCAGGCCCTGCGCAGGGGGTTTGTCGTTGTAGGGTTGCCGATGGGTTCCACGTTTATCATTGCGGGGAGGCCGAGGGCCCCAGTTTTACAAAAGGGTTTCCCGGTGGCCTCCAGGCTCAGCAGAGAAGGTTTGTTATCTTCGGGTTGTTAGTAGTCCAGCCCCACGTCCCCTTGCGCATTTTAGATTCACTCGTTAATTCTCAGGCTGTGCAGGCCACGGATCGGAGCGGAGGGTCACGCTCACGACCGCGAGATGCCCAGGCTGAGTCTGTTATGGCAGAGTTAGTCCTCAGCACTGGATCATGTGCATCATAGGAACGGCTGTACTGGGTCAGATCAGTGGTCCATCTAGCCCAGTATCCTGCCTCTGACAGTGCCCGGGGCCAGATGCTTCAGAGAAAATGGACAGAACAGGGAAATTATCTAGAGACCCATCTCCTGTCATCCTGTCCCAACTTCTGGCAGTCAGGGGCTTAGGAACATCTAAGGGCTTAGGGTTTGCGTTCCTGACCATCTTGGCTAATAGCCCTTGGCAGACCTATCCTCCATGAATTTACCTAATTCTTTTTTGAACCCAATTATACTTTTGGCCTTCACAATATCCCCTGGCAATGAGTTCCACAGGTTGACCATGTTTGTTATTGTAGGGTTTCCTGTGAGTGCTGAGCCACCTACTAGGTTTGTTTGCCAACCTGGGTCCCTCATGAGGTGTGCTATTTGCATATTTAATATCAGCACGGGGCTGCATGGACAAGAGTGTGTTTCAAGCTCTGCACCCACTGCAACATAAACACAGCTCCAGCATTTTAATCAGTGTCTGATTCTTAGCAATTGTAGCATATCACACACAGGCGAGGTGTGGCACGTATCAGTTACTCACAACAAACTGCAGAGTGTCTGTTGAGGCCCTGATCATGTAGGCAGTTGGCAGGGGCATCATCTTTTGATGGAAAATCTTGGTGAACTGGTGTGAGGGCTTTGAGATCAGGAAGGAAAGCACCTGCCTGAGGAACTGGGGTAGGAGCCTGTGAAACTCCTTCCCTTCATAAGAGGGGGGCTTTGCTTAACTTACCCAGCGTGGCAATGGTGGAGGAGTTTCCTCCTCCTGTGAGTCCCACGGCTCCCCGGTGGAGTCCTGGCTACGTGCAGGAGATACGGCCCCATCACGCCACTTTGACTCAAAGCCCAACCCTGTGACAGAGAAGGGGGAGGCGGGCTGGCAGCACATAGGACACAGTTCTCCCTCTGATGTTCCTGGAAAGGGAGCCTCACACACTGAGCACCTTTTGGATTTGCTGTGGTGCTTTCGCGGCCGATCTGCCATTCTGAGGGTGCAGAAGAAGCCTGACAAGGTGGGGCCGTGCTGGAAGGGCGAGAGGGATTAAAACCTCAGTGATCCACCAGAAGGAAGGAAGAGAGACAAGATTTAAAACAAAGGGAGCTGCAGTAGTTGCATTGCTGGAAGAAGGGGGTTGGAAGTGAGGGGCGGGGCTTAGTGTGGGGCAGGATCCCCAGGCAATAGTGCTATGGGGCCTCTGAGATCCACAAGGGGGAAACATAGCTCATTTATGGAGGACTGTGTCAGGAAATGACAGGTTCTTACCATGGCTGGGGCCAGCCACTAGAGGGAGACAACCACATGCACTAGGTCTCATATTACACGCAAATGTCTGCCTTGGGGCTGGAAGCACGTTGCTTTGCCTTAAGGCCTGGGAGACCCTTTGTGTGTTAATGGATTCTATTAGCCATCAAAACCAAACCTAAAAATGGAAGGTTGCTGCATCACAACTTGTACATTAACTTATCTAGGTTTCAGGGTAGCAGCCGTGTTAGTCTGTATCCGCAAAAAGAACAGGAGGACTTGTGGCACCTTAGAGACGAACCAGTTTATTTGAGCAGAAGCTTTCGTGAGCTACAGCTCACTTCATCTAGGCAACTAGCATAGTTGGGGCAAAGTACTGTATTGCAGTATGTTTTCTCTAGAGCCGGAGCTGTTACATGTTTCTTGAAAAAGGGGGAAGATACCATCAGTTAGCTTGGGTAGATTATAGCAGGGTTGTGTTACGGAGTTCGATTTGACAGGAGCGTTAACCCTTTTGTTTGTAAAAATCCCATTTTCATAAGAAATCTAATTTTTCACAGTGGTTTGGTGAAAAATTAATTGGTATAGAAAGAACAAGAGTTTAAAAATCACCCCTCCTGGTCCCTTTTCACTGGATTGTCTCACTTTTCTTTGTACCTCAGCTTCAGCCAACTTGCAGTGTTAAAGCAAAATAAATTCCCAAATGCATGAATGGGTGACAGTCAGATGTGCTGATTGGTTGATACATAAAAAGCATATGAGGTCACTGTCAAGGTTTTGTAGCAGAGTTCAAGTTGGATGCAGCCAGGGTACGTATGGCTTTTGGGTAGCTGGTGGAGATGGGAGTGAAGTGTTATGACGCACTAGAGTATGTTAGCTCTCTGTTGCAGGTGATGTGAAGGTGGAAAGGAATGCACATGTCTTTCCCTTAATTTCCCTGTTTTTAAGGGTTGGGATGGAGGGATGTGCCCTGCTGCAACCTTAACTGTCACTAAACGTAGTTTTTGTTTGCTAATTTATACTGTGGTAGCATCCAGCGATCCCACTCAGCATTGGAGTCCTACTGTGATGAGCTCTGCATGGACAAATAAGTAGACTGGGTCCCTGCCTCATAGTGCTTAGAAACTGAGGCCACGATCCTGCAACCACTTAAGCACATGCTTAACTTGGCAATGAGACAACTCACATGCTAAAGTTAAGCATGTGAGCTGTCAGTTTTTGCAGGATCTGGGCCGAATGTGAAACAAGACGCAACCAGTGAATTTAGCAAATGACAGGAAGGAAGGATGAGGGTAACGGTCATAGAATCATTAGTCACACAGCCTAATAATGAGTCCGACTTAATGGCTCTGAATCATTTAAATTGTTTTTCTTCCTAAATATCAGCTCTCCCCAACTGGCCAATTAACGTTAGCTAGATTGAACCACGGTTTCTGATAAGCATCACAGCCATAGGTGGTCTTGAGGAGGGATTTACAAGAGGACAGAGTAGTGGCCTTCTGGCCTAGCTGAAGGAGGGCATTCTAGCCACGGCAGGAAACACGGAGACATTTGTGGGAGAAGCAGCTATATGAACATTCAAGGCTGGCATATTTGGTGGAGTTGAGGGAGCAGATGCTAGTGCTAAAAGAGACAAGGTCAGATACATAGGTATGGACAAAGCTGGGAAAAGGTATAATATATACATTTGTATTTATTATATTACATTGATCATAAATATTTATTACATTATGGAAACAAGTCCATAATAAAAGCAATCTAGTCCTTTTAAGGCACTATATCTGGCTCCTAGGAGTTAATAAATCCATTTTGCACAAAGCAGGAAGGATGATTAAAAAGACAAAAGAATAACAATATGCTACAAAGCTATATTTATACAAGCAGGAAAGAAGAGGAAGTTGTGGACACATCAGTGTATTATAGAGATACAGTGAGCAGGCTTTGTACAATTGTAAGTCTGCTACTTTGAGAAAACATGAGTACACTCCTCCTTAGTATAAATTATTGAAGAAAACCAAACAAAATAACTCCTCTCTAAAATTACTGTAGTACTTTTCTGCAGTCTTCACTGGCATCAGTAATAGAAACAGCCAAATGCAGCTACCACGCAGAACAGACTGTCCTGAGAAAACAATAGAGAAGCATATTAGTTTTAACAAAAGTGTACTCCTCTCACTGAAACAGGTGATCATATTGAAGCCCAACTAAAAGTTCAAAGATTACATTTTTGTTATGTCCTTAATTTGGTATAAAGAAAATCTAGACAAGAACTTAAGAGTGTTTAAAAAAAAACCAGACTAAAACAACTTGCACACCAAGTTTTTGTCTTTTATTTTAAAGTCATTTTATTATGCACTAAAAACTTAGAAATCCTGATGCTGCACTAAATGGTTAAAGATGACAAATAACACAGGTTCAAGTTTTGCAGAAGACATCCTTATGGTATCTGATTCACTTTTAACTGCTTAAATACTTAGAATGTAAGCAGGGCTTTTCTTCTCCACAATACTTTACAAACATTAATTCTCAGCACCCCAATATTATCTTCATTTTGCAGAGGAGTTCAGTGACTAGTTCAAGGTCAGAGGATAGTCAGTGGCAAAGCTCAGGATATCCTGGTTTCCAGTCCTGTACTCTGACTAGCAAAGCATTAAACATGGCCTTAGGTAACTTTACCTCCCTGTGCTACAGTTTCCCTAGCTGTAAAATGGAGCTAAGAATACCCACCTCCTTTGTGAAGTGCTTTGAGATCTTGGATGAAAAGCACTATGTAAGATCTAAGTTCTGTAGTATCATCATCAAGTGCTTTGCTGAATAGGGACACACTGCTGAATTGGGGCCTATACAAATTCCACTGCTGACTATTGGTATTTTTTTCCGTATTGTCTTGGTACTTAGTACAAACAAATGGCCTAGAGGTTAATATATCAAGTCCACATTCTGTGATCAGAATCTCTCTCTCTATAAATACACACAGAACAGATTCACTTAATTTTCCCCGGGAAAAATTGCAAATACTCACATTAATAAAAACATCCTGGGCATAGTTGTCAGTGTCAGCATCCCAGAAACACCGCGCAGCCATGCTAAACAAATGAATTGGGATAAGCCATTAACACGGCAACCTGGGGGGGTAAACTGAGATATGAATACCTGGTCACTACTTTCCCTGAAAGCCAAGAGTTGTTTTCCTTTGAAGAACAAAACCAGCTCATTTGGACTTGGGAATGTGACTTTGTGCTGGATGAAGTTGATGTTTTTCAGAGAGTTAGGGAGAGCATTACTTGCAATTTCCCCACCTCAGACACTATCTGAGTCAATAAGAGCTCAGGCGGGCCAACTTGATACCCCATAGCAAAGAACTTAAGGTTTTAAGACCAGAAGGAACCATTATGATAAATGTAGTCCATCCTCCTGCATAACAGGCTAGAGAATTTCCTCCAATGGTTTATACACCAAGTTAAGGGCGCCAGAACCTTGTAGAAGTGAGGGGGTCATCAGTGCTGGAACTGGGGGGGCCCAGGGGCCCTGCCCCCCACTTTTTAACATGGCTGTAGTTTGGAGAGTAGGGAGTTGCATTGCCCCCCCAGACTGGAAGCCTTGGGCAGCTGCGGAGCAGCACCAGCAGGGGATGCACTTTGCAGTGGTGCTGCCCCCCTAAACTTCAAGCCTTCGGCCAGCACCGCCCCACTGCCCTCCAAACTACGCCCGTATTAAGAAGTGGGGGGGCCATGGCATCCTGGGCCCCCAGTTCTGGTGCTGTTGCCTCAAGCTCAACAACACAGGATTCATCAGATTGGATTACATCATTGGTCCATCGAGTTTGGTATCCTGCCTCAGACAGTGGCCCGCATGGAGATGGTTTAGAGGAAGGGGACCACCACACACACATTATATCTCGCCAAATGTACGTGATGTAATGCACAGGGAAGAGATATTCTTTCCTGATCTCTAATCAGCTTACACAAAGGGTATGAGATCTGATTACCCTTATCTGTTGCATTTATCTCATTGAGGAGCACACAGATACTGAAGATAAACCCAGCAGATACAGATTACCTACTTCCTGGGTTGTTCAACACGTTCTTTTCTTAGCTCAGCACTAGTGGAAGCCACAATCTTTCTATGTCAACATGTAAGAATTCTTCTCTAATCACCAGCATTTGGGGCCATATTTTCAAGTGCTCAGCACCCACAATTGAGGTCAGATTTTTAAGAGAATTCTACATGTTGGGTGCTAAGCTCTTTTGAAAGTCTAGATACTTATTTGGGGGCCTAAATGGGAGATGGGCACTTTTGAAAATCTGGCCCTTAGTAAATTGCTGCCTAACAAGAGGATACGAACAGCCTTGCTTTGCTAATTACAGCAGAGAGAACTCTGTGACATGAGCTATGTTTTAAAGATTTTAAGTCCAGAAGGGACCATAGTGATTATCTAGTCTGACCTCCTGCAGAACACTTGCCTGTCTCAGAGAGTTAGGAGCAAGGTTGTGTTGCTGTATTAACTCTTGATGAGGATGACAAAAGCAAGACACCTGAAATGCACAAAACTTACTTCACTCCTTCACCTCTCTGTTCTCCAATCACAACCTGCACCACCATTTTATATCGGTGAAATCCCTCTGCTGCAGAGTAAGAGGGAGAAAAATGAACAGTTTCAAAATGGAAGAGTACAGAATTTTATTATAGTCAGACAGGACACAGGGAGAGAGCTATTTATTTTGTAACTAGAAACTCTTAGTTTCCAATGGGCAGTGAAATGAATGCTATGTACAGTAGATAAGCTGCCTAATGGCCTCACTTTCATAAGTGCTGAGCACCAGAATCTGATTCAAATAAATGGGAGTTGCAGGTGCTCAACACCTTTGAAACACAGGATAGGGAGAGGAAAAACCTCTCAAACAGATACAACAAACACCAACCATGCCAATTAGACAACTTTCCAGGGTTAAAAAAAAAATCCCATGAAAACAAAAGGGTCAGAGTAGAAGCGAGGCTGTTACATGAAACCCAGAAGTTTCAAGTCATCTGAATTATTTTAAAATTGTTCTGATCTTGAGGAAATTGATTGCTGTTTCTGCCATGTATTACTAGTATCTTTAACATTCCTGTTTTAGTAGTAGAGCATGAGAGCATGCACAGATCTGAGCTACATGACTACAAAGCTGTCTGGTTCTATTCCAAAAGAACAGCAAATAGATACTGTTCCGTCAGGGTATAGGTGATACCAATTTGGTAGAGGGGGTGAAACTGGCAACTCGCCAGAAATGCAAGAGCCAAAACAAATTTGCTTAAAATAGAACACTGCCTCTATCTTCAATAAGGCAAGACTCCAGCATGCTACACTCCATTTGTATCTCCGCTGCAAGATGCAGTGTGACATGCGAGATCTGGTAGTGCTCACAGCATCATTCCTTATTCAAGATGACAGCAGACACAGAAGTCAGGCAAAATCCTGTGGGCTGTATTGGGCCACTCCTGCCTCAGGGCACCATGTATATCTTTATAAAGCACTGAAATCAGGTCCTGGGTATAGCTCAGACGACGTATGCTACATAATCTATTTTAAAATTAGCATCTCTGTAAGGGAGATCTAAAACACACTATTAATGCAGGAACTCATGATATTTTGGTTCTCTTGCTGCAAAGGCAGACAGCAGAGAGAGTACAACCCTATTCCCAAAATGATAATGCTGACTCTCATCTGTGTAGTTATTCCAGAATTGGACGTGGGGAACATTTAATGGGTCCTGAAATAACTTCTGGAATCGAAAACATGCAAAGCAATGTTCTGAAACAACACTGCTATGCTGCAACATGCCATCAGTACATGATGATGTCATGACCCACAGCCTCTTGCTCCCTAGTCTCTTACCTTTCCCTCAGCTGCTCCCAATGAGTCTGATTCCCAGTGTGGTCCCTTTGGACCTGATTCTGATCTCATTTACACCAGGCTAAACCAGGAGTGATTCCATTTATGGAAGTGAGGTCAGAATCAGGTCCTGGTCTCGCTCTCCAACTCTCAGTTATGCCCCTTCTTCCATGCTACCCATGCTCCATGCATTCTACTTCTTCCATGATACTTCCTAAGCTGATCTCTCTCACCAGTGGGTCTGTATGTAATCAGATTTGTCTGAATTAAATGTTAAGATCCTCAAGACTGAGACCAAGTTATAAAGCACCATGTACATATATACTAGTTTATTAAATAATATAGAGTTGTGGTCAGTCATCAGTGATCGAGGAGTTTTAAAAAACAGAGGAGAGAATCAATACTTGCAAAAGAAAGGAACAAATTCAGTAAGGAAAGAGGCAGTTTCCCCACCAATCCTCATTACCTTTCAGTCTATCTTTAATTGTCTCTGATAAGGACTGTGTGAGCCCCGGCGTTTCCTCTGGGTTGTATTGCACATTGGCTAGATTCTCTTTCAGTATCGCATGGATGCACTCTTTTACTGCAGAAGATCGGAATCTAACAGGGGAAAAAAATCCTAAATCTCAGAAAGTTCACAGTACAGGATGAAATGTAGCTATGTGGAAAAATTCACCTTTCATTCTCGGCAAGTGGAAATGCATTAAAAGAGCAGCAAAAGTGGAAGCTAGTTAACCAACCTTGCAAAACTGTACACACCCACCAGCTCTACATTCTAGTCAGGTAGATGGGCAAATAAAATCTAATACTGGATCATAGTTATACTGTGATAGGGTGGACTAGGCCCAAAGGCCCCCTGCTGGAGGAACTCAGGGTTCTGCCGCTCCCATCCCAGGAAAGGAGCAGTAGAGAGGCCTCCAAGCAGCTTAGAGTGGCTGCAGGGGAAGCAAACAATCAGGGCCCAGGAGGGCCATATAAGAAGGGCTGCAGAACAGAGCAGTAGTTAGTTGCTGCATGGAGCAGGAGAAGAATGGACTGGAGGCCTGGAAGAACAGCAGAACTATGGACAGCCAAGTCTGCTGGCAGGGACTTGGGGGGGCTCCTGGCTGGCTGCTAGGAACTGAGCCTGAGGAGGGCTACAGAAAGCTAGTGTCTCCAGGGAGGAAGCCCTGGGGATATGGCCCCATACCAGGGCCAGACTATGTAAAGGCTAAAGCCAAAGGAGGGCTAGAGAGACCACCAGAGGGGTACTGAGCTAGGTCTCTGTGGACTGTATACCCAAGAAGGGGTGTGTGCTGGTTAACATGCAGACAGTGTCACATGGCTGGAGGGCTGAGTGCTTGAGAACCACGGAAAGGGGGCTCCTGACCTAAAGAATGCCGAGATGCCCAAACCGAAGGGGGCACTCCTGAGAGGTGGGTGCCAACCCTGTTACACATACCTCCAAGCATAGATGAGAAGGGTAACTGTCCACACCCACCTTCCCTTCCCCACACAGAATTGAGGGGACAGCGAATGGGGGGCAATGGCAACCTTTCCTCTGGACCTCACAAAAAACGGTGTTCAGGGAGGTGGCGGGGGGAGGAGGGATGGGGCAGGACTGAAGATTTGTGAGCCAGAACCTTGATTCCACCCCCCTCCCCAGGCCCTCGCTACTCCCCACCCTCCAGGGGCCCCCTAGCCACCCCACTCCAACATCTCCCCACCCCCCAGGGTTCCCCGCTCCATCCCTCAACACCTCACTGCTCCCCATCTCCCCCAGGATCCCCCCCTCACTCCATCTCCCAACACCTCCCCCCAGCCCCCCCACTCCAACACTCCCCCCACCCCCCAGGGTCCCCCACTCCATCCCTCAACACCCCCCAGGGCCCTCACTGCTCCCAGTCCCCCCCAGCCCCCCCACTCCATCTCCCAACACCTCCCCCCAGCCCCCCCACTCCAACACCTCCCCCACCCCCCAGGGTCCCCCACTCCATCCCTCAACACCCCCCAGCCTCCCCACTGCTCCCAGTCCCCCCCCAGGATCTCCCCCCAGCCCCCCCACTCCATCTCCCAACACCTCCCCCCAGCCCCCCCCACTCCAACACCTCCCCCCACCCCCCAGGGTCCCCCACTCCATCCCTCAACACCCCCCAGCCTCCCCACTGCTCCCAGTCCCCCCCAGGATCTCCCCCCCCAGCCTCCCCACTGCTCCCAGTCCCCCCCCAGGATCTCCCCCCCAGCCTCCCCACTCCATCTCCCAACACCTCCCCCAGCCCCCCCACTCCAACACCTCCCCCCACCCCCCAGGGTCCCCCACTCCATCCCTCAACACCCCCCAGGGCCCTCACTGCTCCCGGTCCCTCCCAACCCCCAAACCAGGGCCCTCCCAGCCGGCCGCGGCCGCTCACTTGTGCTGGAAGGCCGGCCGCAGGCTGTACGAGTTCTCGAGGCTCGGCTGGCCCAGCGGCTCCCCCATGGCCACGGCCGCGCCGCGTTACCACAGCAACCGGCCGGCGCTCCTCGCTTCCGCTTCCGGAAGCCTCTGCCCCCCCGTCACGTGACGGGGGAGCCGCGCGAGCCAGTGCCCCGCCCCCCAGCGCCGCGCGGCCAGGAGCTGCGCGGCACCGGGCGGGGCGCTGACTTCTGCCGGCGGGGCACGCGCCCTTGTGCGGGGCGGAGGCCCCCACATCTGGACGGGGGGCCTACGCCCGGGGCCTGGGGAAGGAGGCACATCTGGCTGGGAGGGCAGGGGCCCAGGGCTTGGAGGAGGGAGGATGCACATCTGGATGGGGGCGGAGGCCCGCACATCTGGACGGGGGGGCCTACGCCCGGGGCCTGGGGAAGGAGGCACATCTGGCTGGGAGGGCAGGGGCCCAGGGCTTGGAGGAGGGAGGATGCACATCTGGATGGGGGCGGAGGCCCGCACATCTGGACGGAGGGGGCCTACGCCCGGGGCCTGGGGAAGGAGGCACATCTGGCTGGGAGGGCAGGGGCCCAGGGCTTGGAGGAGGGAGGATGCACATCTGGATGGGGGCGGAGGCCCGCACATCTGGACGGAGGGGGCCTACGCCCGGGGCCTGGGGAAGGAGGCACATCTGGCTGGGAGGGCAGGGGCCCAGGGCTTGGAGGAGGGAGGATGCACATCTGGATGGGGGCGGAGGCCCCACATCTGGACGGGGCCTACGCCCGGGGCCTGGGGAAGGAGGCACATCTGGCTGGGAGGGCAGGGCCCAGGCTTGGAGGAGGGAGGATGCACATCTGGATGGGGCGGAGGCCCGCACATCTGGACGGGGGGGCCTACGCCCGGGGCCTGGGGAAGGAGGCACATCTGGCTGGGAGGGCAGGGGCCCAGGCTTGGAGGAGGGAGGATGCACATCTGGATGGGGCGAGGCCCCACATCTGGACGGGGGGGCCTACGCCCGGGGCCTGGGGAAGGAGGCACATCTGGCTGGGAGGGCAGGGGCCCAGGGCTTGGAGGAGGGAGGATGCACATCTGGATGGGGGCGGAGGCCCGCACATCTGGACGGAGGGGGCCTACGCCCGGGGCCTGGGGAAGGAGGCACATCTGGCCGGGAGGGCAGGGGCCCAGGGCTTGGAGGAGGGAGGAAGCACATCTGGATGGGGCGGAGGCCCGCACATCTGGACGGGGGGCCTACGCCCGGGGCCTGGGGAAGGAGGCACATCTGGCTGGGAGGGCAGGGCCCAGGGCTTGGAGGAGGGAGGATGCACATCTGGATGGGGGCGGAGGCCCGCACATCTGGACGGAGGGGCCTACGCCCGGGGCATGTGGAAGGATGCTCATCTGGACAGGGAGGGCATGTGCCCAGGGAGAAACGTGCACATCTGGACAGGGGACCTGCGTGCCAATGTAGGAAGATGCCCTAGAGCGACAGGGTATCCTTTTTTGGTTACACGCCTGCGTGGCAGCCTGCAGCGAACTGGGAAGAGAGGTGACTGACAAACAGTTCTCTAGTCTAGGCCCAGACAAAGCCTGCGGGCATTCAGTGAACAGCAACAAAATGCCTATGACTGAAAGGGAGGTGGAAAGAGATCCCCGCCCGTGATACATTTTGTAGTGATGAAATTCAGTTAAAAAGCAGATATTTGGGATAAAGAGTTGAAGGACCCACGTGTGGACAAATACCAAGTGGGGCTGGTGAACATTAAAGATCCCATGGTGCTACTGGTAAAAATAAAAGTGCTGATTCTGTTGTCTTGACCAAATTCTAGCTCAGGCAGCTGCCTTTTGCCTATTTAAGTTCCTCCTGCAATTTCGACTAGGTGTGTTATTCTTTACTTCCTGTCCTAAAGAGCTGTGCTCTGTGAAACAGCTGCCTGCCCCTGTTCCATTCCCAGGAGCAGGAGGGGCTGCACTGCAGTGGTTGATGAGGTGAGCCCTCTCTGCTATGGGATCTGGTGGGGTAAAAGATGATAAGGAAATGCAGGACCTTACTTAGGAAGGAACAGAACAATGATGGCAGCCTTTGCTTTGCTCTCGCCTGTGAACCATGGTGAAGAAGGCAGAAATAGTGTCTAAAGATAAATGATCTCACAGCCAAGTGGGTTACAGGGAGCTGCAGTTGAGCTGCACAGCAGACTCCCATGCAAAACACCCACGCTAAGCTTTTTTTCCTCTCTCACTACAGTGTGAAGCATCGCCTGGAAATGATCTTCTGGCAGATCAGAAATCTGTATCATGTCTCATCTCAAGGAGGAGTTACTCTCCAGTTTGCTGTGGGTACATAAGTGTATCTTCCTCCCCATCGAGTCATTGGTCGGAGGAAGGAGCGGGGTAGGCAGCTATCCTCTGGCTGTAAGTCAGGACTCCTAGGTTCCACTCCCAGCTCTCCCACTGACTGGCTGCTGGACCATCCCAACTCCCATCCCCTTGCTGTGCTTCACGTTTCGCCAGCAGGGAAGTGGGTCTAAGACAGTAGTTCTCAACCAGGGGTCCGGGGCCCCCTAGGGGACCTTGAGTAGGGGTCAGGGGGGCCTCCAAGGAGGGCCAGCATTAGACTCCCTGGGGCCCAGGGCAGAAAGCCAAAGCCCCACCGCATGGGGCTGAAGCCCAGGGCCCTGAGCCCCGTCACTGAGGGCTGAAGCTGAAGCCTGAGCAATGTAGCTTCATGGGGGCCCCTGGCAATTGCCCTGCTTGTTACCCACGAATGCCGACCCTGGCTTTTAGATGCAGAAAAACAGTTACCGTGGCACAGGTGGGCCGTGGAGTTCTTTATAGCCTGTTGGGGGGGCCTCAGAACAAAAGAGGTTGAGAACCTTTGGTCTAAGATTCCATATTTACCTGCTTCATAAGGAGGCTGGGAGGATGCGTGGGGAGTACATTGGAAGTGCAAAGGCCTACGGGGAGCATCTGCCTGGGAGTCAGGAGACCTGGGTACTATGACATAGAGGTAGGGGGAACTTCTCTGCTTTCCCTCTATACGTGAATCCTGGGGTAGGATAACTATAAAACCTTAAACGAACTAGGTCCACCAAAACCATGTGGGATACATGGCAGGATGTCAGACGGTTCCATGTGCAGAGGAGCTAGAGAGAGAGAGAGAGACTGTACAGCCTAATCCCCATAGTACTGAGCATTTTCGCTCCCACCTACTTCCATAGGAATTTGCAGTGCTCAGCACCTTGCAGGATTAGACTTCTTAGAAAAAAACAATAGCCACTATTTGGTAGAAATATTCTAGACCGAGGCAGTGTCTTGGAAACAACACACCAATAAAATATGACTTTTAAAGGCCACCCCCTGGAGAGGGTCCTACACATCAATGAAACCTCAGAGAGCCCAGAAAGAAGGAGCCAGCCTGCAGGGGGAACAGGAGGGAGGTGTGCAGTGACTGTGGCAACATTACTCCGCAGAATCTTCACCCCCCTAGTTGGGTTGCAGATCATTTATACAACTCGCCTGCCTACTGGCATTTTCCTTTCAGTTCTTTACACGTTGCCCTGTACGTTTAGGTGCATATGCTCACACCCGGGGGTGGCTTAAAGATGGATCGAACTTTAGGCAACCCGTGTTTAAAAATGTTGGCCTAAGTGGCTTGCTCCAGGTCAGAACAGTGAGTCGGAGGAAGACGCTAGGAGAGAACGGTTTGACTTGCCGTTCCAGAACCCTTGGAGGAGACCTGGTTAATTGACTTCCTATTAGAACTCTTTTTTGTCAGTTTCCCACTTTTTTTGCTCGCCAGACTCTTCGCTCGCTCCCTCGGACCCCTGATCTCTCACGTTTATTTCTACGTCCCCCCAGTGCTGGGTGTTATTCTTAGCCTTTTGTTCATGGCAGCTGCTTTTCCATCCCTGTTCTGATTCCGAGGCACAGCAAGGCATGGAAGGAAGAGCAGAGAGCCCCATTCATCAGGGGTTGGTTGGGCTTCAAAGGGTGAGATTAAGGAAGGAAGACGATAAGTCGTGTGGTAATTAAGTAACAAACCATGATAATAAGTAGCTCACTTTTCCGTCACACCTCCTCCTCCCAACACAGGCCTATACCTGTTTTACTGGAAATGCAAGGCCGTAATATACCTTATCGGAACTTGTTTAGTTGTTGTTGTTTTTTTAGCAGCCCCATGCTACTTTCTTTTTTAAAAAAATGAATCATTTGATTATTTTTATTCAAGGGGAAGTGAATGTGGCTGAATGGTGATGGTGTGAGATAGGACTCCTTGCTAGGGAGTCAGCCAGGAAGAGGAGATGCTCAGAGGCCTTTATGTTGCATACCCATTGTGGGCGCATCCAACAACCCTGCCCGGCCAGCGTCCTCTGCAGGGCTGAATGGAGGACCTCTGGAGTTAAAAGCATGAATCTCAACTGCTTAAGCTAAAGAAGCACATACGCCCGCGCAAAATGTATTAGGAGCAGCCCATGGAATGAGAGACTCAAAGGAAGAGATTTCTTAGCTCATTTCCCAATGACCCACGCCCTCCTGGGCAGGATTGTTCCCAGCAGTACATGCCCCAGTAGGCTATCCCCATTTAATTACAGAGTGGGGCGAAGAGAATGGAGGGGAGTGTGGGGAGTTTGAGGGGCAGCCGAAGTCGTAGTTTGATTACACTGGCAAGGTTGGGAAGGGCTGCTGCATGCTCCATCTCACCACGCTACAGGCCACCAGAAGGTGCAGAGAGACCCAGATCTGCAGTGCACAGCATCACTGTGGGGCCATATCTGCACAGAGGGTCCAGCTAGTCATATGTTCTTATCTCTTAACAGGGCCATGTCCTCCCTCCTGCATGCAGCCTCAGCACCTGGGGTATGCTCGGGGGAGGAACATGACAATCCTCTCCCCTAACAGGGAGGGGAGAGATGGCCATGGCCATTCTGTGCCATTGTGGCTGCCCTGCACCTGCAAGGGGAATGGCTTCCTCTGCATGCCGGGGTACAGGACTTCATCAACTTCACCCATGCCCCTTGTGCAGATTCTCTCCACACCACCCGCTGTGCTGGTGAGGCCAGCGTCGGGGAAAGGATTTGGCCCACGGGTTTCTTCCTAAACCCCTCATATGACGCCTCAAAAAGTCCTGATTCGTCATGCAGGAG